ATTACAGGCGTGAGCCACCGCGCCCGGCCCTTCTTGGATATTTTTATCCACGTATGAAAGAGGAATCTTTTGATTCCCTACTTCCTTCCCCTGAAGTTTGCTCATTTATATCAATAAAGAATTCAGTGCATACGGGATTGATCTATTAACCACTGTCAAACTGCAGTAAGGTTTTATAGACTTCTAAAATTTTTCTGTTCAATGAGATCACAAATGTTTAATACTTTTAGACAAAGGAAGGAAATGAGATGTTCTTGTCAGTGAATCAATTATTCACTGATTCATGTGGACATATAACTCTCCATTAGGAAGAACGTACCAGAACAGGTCCAAAGATCAGTAGTCACACGTGCTGACAATAATCATTCTAGCTTTCGAGTTGTGGTAGCCTTCTATGTGCCAAGCAAGGAGCAAGATGTTTCTCATATGTGGTCTCATTAATTTTTACCACAATCTCCCTCAAAAGTAAGTGTTGTCATCACCCTGGGGTAAAAATAGCAGAAATTCTTCTGACTACACGCCAAGAAGAGGGTTTAGCCATCGCTTATTCATCACGGTCTAATAGCGAACATTGTTGCTAGTAGTTTTAAGGGTTTGCAGCAACAAAAATTCTGTACTTCACGCGTTTCTGATCCACAGGTTAACGATAACCACAGTAACTCTTTGCTCTCTGTGAGCAAAGACTGCCATCATGTGGAAATCATACACATAACAAAAATATCATTTCATAGACCCAAATGTTTTCTTGGCACCCATGAAGAATTTTGAAGCTAGATTCTTACATTATTACACACACACACACACACACACATACATGTCATTGTTGCTTATAATTAAAAGGTAAAATTCTCCTTTAGGTGTGTTTTTAAGTTTCATTTAAAAGAGCCAGTGCTTTGACAAGATCTGAAAAGAGAACGTATCTCTGCATTTATTCTAAGGATTTATCCTGTCGGTCTTTAAGGCAGTGCACTACATTTTACTAACCTTGCTTTACTAATCCTGAAATAATAAAAAGGAAGGCGTGGTGAGACCTTTCTGCTGCAATTTCCAGGAGTATTAAATTTTGTAATGAATAGCAAGATCTTATGACGGAACTCTGGGCTTAGAGAACGCTTTCATTCCCTTCCAATACTTCTAGCTCATTCCAGCCCAGAATGCATTCTTGGAATCTATTGTGGACTAGTCAGAGTTTGACTGAGGGACCCCATTACCATATATCCCCAAAGATGGGGTCACCCTGCAATGCCTCAGCTGCCTTGCTGCAGTGACCATGAGATTAACTGTACAAATAAATCTTTGTGGCACAACGACACTTGAAGTTGAAGGCATCTGTCCCTTTTTCCTTCCCTCTTTCCCCTCAGCGAACGCCTGTCACCCAGCTGGCTGAACCTAAAACTTCTGTGATTAAACAAATTCTGTTGAGTTAAAGACCTGTAACTCCTGTTAGAATTGAAATGAGTGAGGTTTAACACATATACTTCAATCATTATTTTTAAAGTCAAAATAATCTCCAGGTGTGGAAAACATAAGGGGACAGAGGAAGTGGATGAAACATGGGAGTCCCAGGTCCCACTGAGGGGAAAGAGCAGGCAGTCCTCAGCTCCTGAAGGAACGACAGATGACGGGACAGGAACTTGGGCATTGGACGAAGCCCAAGCCTTTCTGGCAGAATGCGCAGTTGTGGTTCAGAACAAATTTTATACCCAAGGAAATGTCGGGAATGAAGTCACTCATTAAATATTTATTGAATGGATAGATCAATAAGGAGGAAATGGAATGAATTAGAAAATAGCACCAATGATAAGAAAAAAAGAGTAGGATCTGAGGGCAGGGTTCACCTACCAAAAACTGGGTTGAGCATATTCCATCCATAAGTATGAACCCATTCCGTGTCAGGCAACATGGAGGGTGGGGAGTGTGATTCTAGAAAAAGGAACAGACATTAATCAAGGAACCACAATTATACATGATGATAAGTGCTATGGGGGAAAACTCTTACATTTTCAAAGACACTGACTAATTATAATGCGGCGGGAGTAGACGAGCAGGGAAACGGGGTCTCATTGTGTACGCAGATATATTCTCATTAAGCAAAGGTTGCTTTTATACCTGCATGGTATAAAAGGAAACTACATGTAATTATAAACTCAAATTTAAGAAGAATTATTTGTTCAAAGATGATTAAATTTTTCCTTCAAGGTATTCAATGGCGTTCTTACTATCTACAGCCTTTAGGTAGGCAAATATCTAAAGAATGTGCCATTTTTTTTATTATTATTATTATCAGGGTAACGACACTTAACATAGCCCTACCTTATTAACACATTTTTTTGTTTGAGACAGAGTCTCGCTCTGTCACCCAGGCTGGAGTGCAATGGTCAGATCATAGCTCACTGCAACCTCAAACTCCCAGGCTCGAGCGATCCTCCAGTCTCAGCCTCCCTACAGTCTCAGCCTCCCCCTCCTGTCTCAGCCTCCCTTCCCTCCCGAGTAGCTGAAACTACAGACGAGGGTCACCAGGCCCAGTTAATTTTTGTCGTTGTTGTGGTCTCCAATGCCTGGCCTCAAGCAACCCTCCCACCTCAGCTTCCCAAAGTTGCTAGGATCATGAGAGTGAGTCACTGTACCCGGCCCCTATTAACAAATCTTTAAGTATACTATTATATATAGTATAGTCAACTGTAGGCACAATGTTGGACAGGAGATCTTTAGAACTTACTCATCTTACGTAACTGAAACTTTATATGCGTTGATTAGCAACGCCAACATCATCTAAACAGTATTCATAAAGAAACCAAGCAAATAACTTTGATGCTATGATTACATGTTTGTATGATACTTAACACGGTGCTGGAAAGTTCCACAAGTATCTACTTCTTTGGATCAAAGAATTACTTCTCAAGTGTATTCCCCAAGCCCTAGCTCAGTGAGCTATTAGTATGTTTCTTGGAGAGGAAAATAAGAAAAGGGGAATGAGGGTCATAAATTTGGGAAATGCCAAATTAAACAAAATCATGCAAGTTTTCTTTTCTGCGGGGGTCTTCTTAGAGCCATTAATGGGCTGACAACTTCGTAAATTTCCAAGAGCGTGTTTCTCAAAGTTAGTGACCACAGCGCTATTTTCCTGCAGAAGCCTTCGAGGGACTAGTTTCCTGTTCATTTTTGCAAATTCTGAAAATGCTCATAACTTTGTCTAGGATAGAGGCTGAAATATGAGTGGCATCTAATCCTTGATATTCATAATCATTTTAGTAAATTCGATTAATCAAAGTAGTTGAGAGCAATACTCTGAGGCAACAAAACATTGGGTAGATCAATTCCTTAAGAAGCAAGAAGAAAAGTGCAGGTCATAAGGGAAGTTCCAGCGCAGTGTCGGTCCTGGAGTCCTCACGGGGGCACTGGGACCGAGGCTGTGGGGACATCCATGGGGGACGATAGGAATGTGACGCTGACGCCCCCCCATTGCCTCTGGGGCTGGTCCACTTTGTCTAACTCAGGTTAAATGTCGATCCCACCCCCAACACACAAAATTTTCTTTCTCCCCTTTACCATTTCGTTCATTCTTCTAGCCATGTGATAACATGAAAAAGGTAAAATGGTACTATATCACTAAAAGTGAGTAATTTACTCCTTTCAGGTTGACTTAATTCTTCTTTTTTAAGTTTTAAGCAATCTCACCCCAAATAATCCGAGCCCTGGGGCAAGAGTACAAATGCAGGTCCACGTATCCCAAGTCTAATTATGTAAAAATTATAAGTTAAGCTAAACACTGCTAGAAACAATGTGTTCTATCATCTTGTCTTGACAAATGTACCGTCGTGATCCCTAGGAGGCCATGTTCAAACTTGTGAGTAGCTGGGACGTCTCCACTGACCCAAGCATAGGGAGTGGGTTTCTGGGACCTTCTCTTCCCACCTCCAGCTCTGTCCTGCACAGCAAAGGGTCTCCCACCCACCGCCATGAGCTCTGCTCTTAGGAGAACGTCCCTGGGAGGAGGCCTAGTGGGCCTTGGAAAAGCACTGAGCTGTTTGGCCAGGAAATTCCAGGGGCCCCCGCGGATGGTGCATACGCTGGCAGGTACACAGCCTTGCCCTGGCCTTTCTTACCCTGTGACAAAGGGCACAGCTGGAGGAGGGTCAGAGCTAGACTGGTCTCAGATAGAGCCCAGGGAGTATTCGACATTGGGAACAATTCCTCTGTGAAAATCACCCTTTAAAAAGCTGCAGTCTTTGCAGCTACCTCCAGGTTTGAAGGGGGAGGGGGGTGTGGAGAAAGAAGAAAAAGAAGAAGAAAAAAGGTATTTCTTATTTGAGTTTAACTACTTCTGAAAGCCTCTGGTCAACTTTTCCTCTCGTTCTCCAAGGTAAGATTACTTCCCCTTTGGCATTAAAAAGGAAATTCGATCAGTTGCGCGAAAAACCAAAAACGATGTATTTTATCAACTTCAAACTTGTCTCAAGGCTTTCTCTCACACTGTGTTAAATAATAGAAGTCTTCTTAATTGAATTTCTTTGTGCGTCGCATATGCCAGGCGACATTATGCCAGCATCTTGCTCTAAGCAGCAAAACGTGCCTCATAAAAGCATTAGGAGCCAGAGTCTCATTCTGTATGGAGGGAAGGCACGCAGGACGGCAGCAGCTTGAGACCACATAAAAACAGCGCCTCGGAAATGTAATTGTGAAAACACACCGCAACGAACCAGAGGGGGGAATATTTCAAATTATGGGATGAAACCAAAGAAGAAGGAAAGGAGGGAGGCTGGAGATTGGAGGGAGGGATGGATGAAGGGAGAAAGGAAAGCTCTGTCGCCCAGCGCTGTCTGTAGAATCACGATGATACTGATTTCAGTGTCCTAGCATGCCATCTACAAGGTCACCTGTACATTCATTTCCTCTTGCCAGCCACCATCCTTTAGAGGTGAGATTGTAAACGGATGTGCCGTGGACCAAAGTAATAGCTATGTCTGCAATAATACGCGGTTGTGTTCTTTGCCCCCAAGGATCCTGGAGCTTCAGCAGAATGGTGACATGGACATCCTGAAGCACAAATGGTGGCCTAAGAATGGCCAGTGTGACCTGTACTCCTCAGTGGACACAAAGCAGAAAGGAGGCGCCCTGGACATCAAGAGCTTTGCGGGGGTTTTTTGCATCCTGGCTGCCGGCATCGTCCTGTCCTGCTTCATAGCCATGCTGGAGACCTGGTGGAACAAGAGGAAAGGCTCCCGCGTCCCGTCGAAAGAGGTACTCGATTGAGCGCTTGGGCTCTAGGCTGAACCAACAAGCAGGCTGTGCTTCTGGGGAGGATGGTCAGAGGGGTGAGGATACAGGGGCGGGATGGTCATCGTTTCTTCTTTCATCGAAGATTAAAAATAAAGTCGTGAAATGGAAACCTCGGTAAGACCAATATCAAACTCCATTTTAAAATATCCCAGATCAGTGAAGAGGAGACGATAATATTTGAAAGACTGACAGTTTCATGTGCCATAACGGGCTTTGAAATTCTCCCAAGTCTCAGGATACACTTTAATTCAATGATTTTTCAAAAGCCATGATTCCCTTGACCGGTTCACAGAGATGCTTACCATTTTATTTCGATTAGTTGTTTAGCGCGTAGGTAAATTACTTGGGTCTTTAAGACGGGGCCGAAAATATACAATATTACACATAAAAATGATCAGAATTTTCCCCTGACTGCTGCTTCCCTCTATACACATGTAGATCTGTAGAAGTGACCGTATGTGTTTGGCTCTTCAATGCCCCAAGCTTACCAAATCCACACCATGGAATCATCCAGAATTCAATTTTTCTCCTTTATTCTTGAGTCAGCTTAACTCCAGAGCCATATTAATTTTTCTCTGGATATCTGGAAGAATAATTACAGAGTGACTCATATCTCTTTTAAAAGTGGTTTATGCCTTGTTTTCATTATAAATTGTGGGACGTATAAATTAGAGGAAATGTGAAGTTAAAATAAACTACTTGATTCATTTTTCTTATTTCTAGCAGACCAAAAGGGTGAACATTTTTTAGGTAACCATATTCACTAAAGCTCCACAAACTGAAATGAAAAACGATCTGAATTTGCTAAATGATTTGATTCGATGGATAGTTTCAAAGAAAGTTCTAAACTTTCTATAACTAGAACTTGGCTAACTAACTGAGGCCTAAGGCGAATCCTGAAAGGATATGCTTTAATGCACAAATGAAAATGACTTCTCATTTGCATTTGCATTTTTGCATGTTAATGTTCTTCCAAGCAGACTGTTTTCTAAAGTAGTCTAAGGATTCCTTCCCACCACCCTAAATGCAAAATTGATCAGCACCATTTATAAGGAAACGTTTGGCTTGGCAAAGATGAATCTTAGCTTCCTACCTGTGCGAATGATCATACATTCTAAATTAGTGGAGAACGAATTAAAAGTTAATCAAGTTTTATTGTAGGGTTTTCTTTGTGGAATAAGCTTCTGGTATCTCTGTTGACATTGATTCCACGCAAAAGACCACATTAATGCAACATTATGGCCGAGATTTCATGTTCTCAAAAATCTGGAAATTAAGGACTCCCCAAGCCCCTTATATTTTGAGTTAGTATATATGATATTAAATTTTTGCATAATTATATCTGTCGATGGATGAGTACATTACAGTTGCTGTGGGAACCCTAAAATTATATGTCTCAACCCCCTAAAGTCTCAGTGATAATATTGCATTAATGGATATTTTTTATTGGATTTTGAAATGAGAAAGGAGAAGGAAAAACAGTGATGCATATCAGAATATTTTTCACCGAGGAACATTATAACAGCACAATGAAAAAAATACATACTCCATTCTAACTCGTGACAGCTAATCAGATCATGTGAACAAATATTTTCTCCTCTTATGATTAATAGACATTTAAAATCCTCATTAATTTATTGAGCTTGGCTATACATAAGACTTCCGGTTTTATTTTTTAAACATTGGGCTGTAATACTCGCTTTCAGTGAAAATCCTAAGGGATTTATGTATGAAGTGATTTCAACTCCAGCAACGTGAGATCTTACTTCTTTTTATTAAGTGCTTTCTTACCAAGATGCCATTAGTGTAGCTTAAAGCATCTTTGGGTTTAGAGGTTATGTAGCATAAGGCTGGCCCTAAACTACAGCTATCACTCACATGTCCTGACTGGAGGGGGTCTCTGAATATCTTGCCGACCCCACTATATTGCCTGATTCAGATACTAGATCCCTTGAGTGTGTGAAATCCCTCAATTAGAAATTGATTCTCCTGTGTTGAGTGTGTTGCTCTTCCTAAACTATCTCACATGTCTCTGGCCTACAAGAAATAACACTTTAACAGTCACTAACACTTTAGTACGATATAGTGTATTGTATTACTTTCCTTCAAGAATGGAAAGCTAAGGTTAGGAGTAAGTGGTTGAAAGGAAGAAAAATTTAACTTAGAATGAGACACCCTGAAAAAGGAGGAAGCATGAATAAAACGGTGGGGGGCAGAGTTGCCAAAACCATACTTTCTATTTGTACAGTTTTGCCTGAGCCTGTCTCTTATAGGATGCCAATCATCCATCTCCCGCTCCCAAATCTTTGTAGTTGCATGTGGTGTGTGCTCATTTTAGAATTTTTACTGCCAGAAAACTATTTATTCTAGATAACCTTATCTCAGAATCATATTGGTATCCCCAGAATCTAGCACAGTGCCTGGCTCATATTAGGTGCTCAATAAATATTTGTTAAATGAATAAAACCCCAAAGTTCAGTTAATTACATGTTTGCTGAACTACTTTTTTTTTTTTTTTTTTTTTTAACCATGGAAGCCAGTACTGATGAGAACCTTATCTTCTTTTTCTTCATCTCCAGGATGACAAGGAAATTGACCTGGAGCACCTCCATAGACGTGTAAATAGCTTGTGCACAGATGACGACAGCCCCCATAAACAGTTTTCCACCTCGTCAATTGATTTGACCCCTCTGGACATTGACACTTTGCCAACACGACAAGCACTGGAGCAAATCAGTGATTTCAGGAACACTCATATCACCACAACAACCTTTATCCCAGAGCAGATCCAGACTCTTAGCCGCACACTGTCAGCTAAAGCTGCCTCTGGTTTCACTTTTGGCAACGTGCCTGAGCACCGAACTGGCCCTTTTAGGCACAGGGCACCTAATGGGGGCTTTTTCAGGAGTCCTATAAAAACAATGTCATCTATTCCTTATCAACCAACTCCTAACTTGGGGCTCAATCTGGGTAATGATCCAGACCGAGGCACCTCCATATGAGCATCAGACAAAAATCTCCTCACTGTTTCTTTTTTAGGACTCCCTTTGCAAGGAGCAACTGTAATATTGTGGGACTAACATGGATGTAACTTTGAAAAAAACAAAATCAGGATTATTAGTAACGATTCTAGTTTTTTCTCCCCACCTTCTCCCTCCTCTCTCTCTTCTATTTTTTCCTCTCTCTTTTCCCCTCTCTTCCCATACATGTCCCTCCACTTTTTTTTCGTTACTCAACTTGTTCCCCCAGAATGTAGTATACTAGGATCCTATTAGTCTGCTTTTCATATACTGTACATCAAGTATAGGAAATGTGCGCTGAGTATACTAAAGGTATATTGCGGATCAATTTTACATAAAGGCCTCTTACGTAATGTTCCTCTATTTTTAGAAATATAATTGCAATAACTTCAGTCTTTTTACATTCTTCTGCTGCATCCCTACAATGCTCCACTGCTGTGGAGTGTCCTTTAACTGTGGACCAGGCAACCCCTGCAGTGTTTAAAAACCAATTTAAAGACCATTCAGGCCACATAATCTGAGAATGCAATTTCGTTGGATTACAAAAAAGCCATTAATATGCCAGTCAAGACTACAGTTAAAACTACTCTTGCACTGCAACAGTGCATATGACCCTTATGTGATTGTACAGTATTAAAAGCTTTTTCTTATGTACAGTGAACTTTATCATATGGCAGAAGCCTCGATTGTGTTAAATAAATTAGTATCTCATATATTTACATATATATGCACCTATATAATGTGTGTATATATAAAAAGGCGGCCATTGCTATTGCAATTCATTTACTAAAGCTTTAGTTAAAACAAACAAAAAAAAAGTATTGTATACAGGAACTATGTATATGCAGGGGTTCTTTTCAGTTAGAAAAGGCAGGTTGCTTTAATGTTATTCTGACTCGCATTGTTTGCCGGCAGAGAGTATTTTATACTTTTGTTATTAAAACATCCAGGGCAATTTAGTTATTTGTTCCTAGATGTAACTCATTTGAGTAGGTTTCGCATTTGTTATTCAGCAGTTGTATAAAGCTAACCTTGATCATTTTAGTTTCAATTAATTATCTACATGAAAAAACGCTATTAGCTGAATCACATCCTCGACAGCACATAGAGCTCTACAAGAGTTTAAACGTAGATCACCGAAGGTTACGAATCCTCTTCCAAAGCAGTAAGCCAATCAGTACAACAACTGTATTTGGGGAGGGGTGGGAGCCCTTAGGAAATATCAATGTGGCCTTAATTACTGTCATACATTATCCTAAAGAAGAGAATACAATAACCATACTGGGCTCTCAACCCCCTTTTTTATTCAGTTCTGTTTGGAGGAGTTATGTATTTTTTACATTAGTGCCAAGTATTTAGAAGGATGACTGCAAAAACAGTGCCTCTTTGCGCACACCCTTTTAAAGTAGCATTCTTACCTGGTAGAAATGTAGAATGAACTTTGTTTGTAATCCTTAAATTAAAATGCGGTAAGTAGGCAGCAAGAACTTATTCTGTGTTTGGTCGCAGCCGTACACTTATTTTAATCTAATTCATTCTGTGGCTAGGATTGATATAGGAATCAACCTATGTGATTTACTTTAGGAGAAATTAAAAGGTATATTCTTAAGATATATTCTATTTTGATGCTAATTCTGTTCTGGGGAGCATCTTGTATTGTCACTGTTTTTGTACTAAATCTTCAAATATTGTCTACTGTGTAAGGCAGAAAAATTTCTTATCATGCAAAAACCATTTTGTTTCCAGGGTGACAAGTACCTAAGTGCATGCACAACTTGTTTTCCCTTGTAACATTCCCATGTAACATTCACAACTCTGATTTTAAAACAAAAAAAAAATCTTTACAAGAGCTATGTAGGGAACCTACCAGATGTTACAGTGATTTTAGCTATCAACAAACTGTTAACCATGTATAATATTTAAAATAGGCTTATTTTGATGTATTGCCTATTATACAAATACACAAAACATTTTTGGAGGCCTCAGTTATGAGTGACAGAGCTTTCTGTGTATAATTTGTCTAAATAATTTGTCTAATAAAAATGTTTTCTAAACTTGCTCTCATACTATTGAAGTCTTAACTGTAAGATTTAAAAATGCTTACTCTCTCACGAATCAAACTAAATTTTTCTAGAAAATTATCGAGTTAATGAAAGCAGAAAACACATTTTACTAGCAGAACTATGTCAAAATGAGTGACTTTCTAAAAACAATACTAAGTGATGTCCTAAACCAATGAAAAACTGCCTTTCTGCTATTGGAGATTATTTGAACCAACAATATATTTGGTTTCTGTGGATGTCTCCATAAGTGCTTTTTTGGGAGAGATTTACCAGGTTTGATGTAAACAATGCAACCATTATAATAATAGCAGGGTGAGGGTTTGTTACAAAAAAAAAAAAAAGAAAGAAAGAAAGAAAAGAAAATTAAGGGTAATTATCAAACTTAGGATTTATTTATTAAAAATCGCTTCACTGTTAGAGAAATATTCATCATGCTGAATCTATTAATTTGGAAATTAATTTAGACTCCAAGATTATTTCTAATAAATTTTTCTGCATTTGAGCACCAGTACTTAATTTTTTCAGTATTTAACTCATCTAATGGATATATATCTGAAACTATATCTGGAAAATATAATTTAGATTACAATCTCTACTGTTCTATTTTGTTCCATCGAAAATAATTCTTTAAATATTGGAACTAAGAAGAACTTTAGAGATCTAGACTATTTCCCCCATTTGACAAACTCGGGAACATAGGATGCT